AATTCCAGGCAGATCCTCCATGGAACTTCCGGAATTTTTGGGCGGAAGTTCCTGGGATCCGAAATTAAAAAAATAAATAAATAAATAATTACCTCGTCGCCACCATCGCCGCCGCCGCCTCCGCCGCTGCCACCAGCGCCGCCGAAGCTCCTCCCTCCGAATCTCAGCCTAATCCGCCTCGAATCACCCATTTTTTTTTTGTGTTTATGATGATTGTTGTTTTCTTAAAAAATGAAGAAAAATTTTTGATTTTTTTTTTTTAAAAAAATTTTTAGAGTGTTTTGGAGAGTTAGAGAGTAAGAGAGTTAGAGAGAGAAGTAAGAAAGTGAGAAATGTTGGTCGGGAAGGAAAAAACCGTATTTATATATTAGGGGTAAAATTGGAATTTCAAGACAAAAAGGGAGCGTGACCCGGTAAAATGGGAGCGACAAATAACAACACCCAACAATGAGCCTAAATATTCTAATGGGAGGATGAGCCTCACGCCAGCTCCAATTGTACCAGGTCGTTCAGGCTTGGCCACTTGGGGAATGACTGAATGTGTGTGAGTGTGGTCCTTAAATTGTACATTTTAATGGGCCTTTCTTATTGTTGGGCTATAACTGACTGGACCACACTATGCTTTTCTGGGCCGGTGGGCCCAGGCCTAATGTTTTAGATATGAAAATGTGTAGCCACTCTTTGCCGGTTTCAATTTCTCTACATTATATTCGAGCAATAACTTGCAAAAAAACAGCCTTAATAGTTTCCGGTTTAACACTTCATCCGTTTTTATTAGATGTATCACTTTTGTAATTGCGGACTCCTTAGTTGGCTACTAGTAATAACTCATATAATTACTATGTAACCGATGAAGTATAACCTCTCTCTTAATAACAGTTATAACTAGTAAAACCTAGAGTAATTATATAAGTTATAACATTTCTTGCTCTATTAACATGGGATGTAAATCTGTAATAGAATAATTTCAATATATCTTCGCTAATGTCATCATAAATATAATTAGGATTATGCATGGCATACCTATTGATATGTGAATACTGAATAGGCCTTAGCTAGGGTTGTTAATGCAGTATAATTTCACAAAATCGCTTACACCATGTTTGTGGAATCCAAGATCCTTGACCGTGTCCCACCGCCACCAGGATTCCATTTTTGACAAATTAAAATCAGCATCGATTTTTTATTTATGTAACCGACTCTCATTCTTTTGAACCTTCTATGAACCAAAAACATTTAAATTTAGTATAAAATCTATTCATGACCTAGGTTTTAACAACCAAAATACTCCAACCATTAGTCTATGTTTTTTTTTTTGTTGAAACCTATAATTGGTTTACATACTTTATCATGCCCTCTTTCCCGATGGCTAAGGCTTAGAATATATTTCATACTCCATTAAAATTTGATAGAGTGCAACTTTACCATGCGTGAAAATTACCTTACACACAAGGACATTTTAAAAACCACTTTCACTAATTTAATCTTTGAAATTGATGAACCTCCCCTTGTTGTTTTCAAAAACCAACTTTTGAAATTATTGATCCTCGGATGTTGGTTAAAGACTTTGTCATGTCCATACTCATAAAGCTTCCACTACGAACCAAATAAGGTTGTTTTGAGAATTTTTGATCTTACCGATGATATCATATGCAAAATACAAATAAATGTCTAGTGTGCCTTTTCCTTAGACCAGCTTATAATATCATGGGAATTTACCGATGATATCATATGCAAAATACGAATGAAGTTGTCTAATCTTCATATTCTAAGTAGATTGACCTCTTTCTCACAAAATTATAATTATCTAATTAATCTTGGTTTAATGAAAGAACAACGATAAACAGAATAAACAAATATGGACATGCAAATGGTAGTTAGATTTATGTCACACTTTATTTGGTAGTTCATAATTTAAGAAAGTAACTACAATCAATTTGTATATAAATTAAATTAAAAGGAAAATATCATAACAACGCATATGGTAATGTTATTTCACCTTAAAGCATCTCATTTTTGTTCAATCTATTTATATATGTACCATTCATTAGTACTTACATGATATTAGTGTTAAATGGTAATAAAAATTTGTAAATTAATACCATTTTAGTATTATATTATATACATTACCAAGGACCCGAGGTATGATAAACTTGATCTGAATTAGCACATAAAATTGTTTAAGAGCGAAGGGAATATAGGATAAAAGAACCTCACCCTCAAGATGTTTTTAATGGAGAATAAACCCGATAATTTCATGATAGTGAAATACAGTCCTTATCACTAGACCAAAACCATTCCGTATTTGATTCGAATTCTAGACATGCTATGTAAACATTGACCAAAACCATTCCGTATTTGATTCGAATTCTAGACATGCTATGCAAACATTGTAGGATAAGGCATGGAAGAGATGGGAGAAGAACAAAAAAGATATCAAAATCAATGTCAATTGTCAACGTCACAATTAGCTTATAATTGTAGTAGTAGTAGAGTAGCACACACAAAAGTGTTGATTTGACTTGCTTGAATTGGGTAGCATAATAATAAGCATAACAATCGTACAAGATTGTCCAACTATATAACCTTGAGAATGTCTCTAGGCGGCCCTGCCTCGTTGTATCCCACTCACTACACGCTATGTTTTCCACACAAATCATATTTTTAAGCATGTGAATTGTTAATTGTGAATTGTGAATTGTGAATTTTAACACTTCATTACTTCTATTTGTTGTTGTTATTTCATTGTCAACGCATTTCAAGTGCAATATATTAGTGGGATGATAACGAAATTTCGACTATAATTTATTTTTTTAAACATGTTAGAATATACAAAGTAGTAATTTTTGTACGAGTAGGAGATTCTTTACTTGTGGAAGAATCTTCGTACATAGTAAATGTGTATCATACTTTCTCCGTCTTTTTTTTTTTTTTTTTTTTTTTTGCATTATTTGATAAAAAAGTTCTTATTAAAGTGGGCCCATGATGTAAAGAAAAAGGAAGTGAGGGAGTAATAGATAAGAAGATTGATAATCATGTATATGGTTGCTAATTTGATTACTGCGTTAGTTGGTTTATTTATTTTGTACTTCATGTTAATTAAGTTAAAACTTCTAGATATTTATGTAAAATTATGGTTATACAATTTCACCATGATGATAATTCGCTAGAATTTAATACTGGAATTAAAAAATGACAAAATTTTGACAGCTTTAGAGGTTATCATGGGCAAGGTTGACATTTTGCAAAGAAAAAAAAAGTGTTTGGGCTAATGTATTGGGGCGGGACTTGTGCTCGCTAATTAGAGGTGAATAAAATTCAAGTTGGGTCGGCCTTAGTATAAAATCATGCGTGCCTAAACCCGCAAAATAGTGTCAGATTTATCGAGTTCTTTCGGGGGTCGGCTTTTGAACTACTATCTCCGTTTTATATTATTTGCAACGATTTGACATAATTTAAAAAGAAAAAATATTTAATCGTTGCAAATAATATGAAACAGAGATAATATAAATAATAATTATATTAGGGTTGTATAAACCCGCACTTTTTTCAAAGTGGGCCAGATTAAGCTAGTGGCTTGGGCATTGGTGACCATCTCAAGGCCAAATATTTTGCTCTTAAACCTGCAATTTCGGGTTAAATAGAGTGGATTATATGAATTGGGCCAAAATTATAACTAAAATTTGACTTTGGGCTGCCCAAAGCCCAATTATATTTCAAAATTTTGGGCCAGATCCGAAACCAGAATCAACATTCCATCTAAACCCAAGTGCTTTTCGGGCCGGGTCGAGCTGAGCTACTCATACGTGTTATACATCTCATGTTTTGGTATACAAATCTCTACTAACTTGGTTTAATAAGACTTGTTCTTACTGTAATGTATCAACTCTAATTTTATTTATACCTTTGTGCATCAATTCATAAAATTAGTTTATTTATACACCTAAATCTGTATTAATTGAGATATAAAGTTGTTATGTGATGATAAAGAAGGAGCAATCAATCTGAGTCTTTTAGCATGCATGCTCCAATCATATCTATGAGGTATAAATCTATGTGAAAATAGTCTTAAGCATATTGCTATCTAGCGTATCTTAATGTTTATCCCAATTTTCTTTTTCATTTGTTCCTTTGAATATGCCTTATTCTATAAGGGACTATAGAGGACACAATTTACTCTAATACATTTAACTCAACTACCTTTCTTTCTTATCAACTGGTTTTTGTATCAAAAGTTATAAAGATAAGATCACCTCAATGAGACAAACAAAAGGAAACAAAACGAGTAGAGAATTGACGTCTTATATTAACTTCAAAACAGCCATGATAGATAGCCTAGCTAGAGCCAATAATATTTGATGACATTGCTCTTAAATTATTCTTTATCGAAGAACCTCTTCAAGTTCAGGAGAAGTCAGTCTACTACCATACATATTACATAATACATGTCGACAGCCGACTCACTCAATAACTACTACAGTAAAATAAAATAGAAGCACGTGTGAATTGTCAAATAATACATGATGTATATATTAGCTCAGCTCTTTATTCATTACTCAATTATTATACTAGAATTAGTTATATAACCTGTTGCAATGATTAATTATTTGAAGAGTAAGTAAATATAAGAATTATTGCATATAAGCAATTAAGCATGGTAACTATTTTATAGATTGGTACTCCCTACATCCCTAAATTACATTCCTTTCTTTCTTCATTATGTGAGAAATAAATGCTAGAAGTAAAATGTAATTTAGGGATGGAGGGAGTATAAATTAATAAACTTAGCATAGATATGTATGATAAATGAACACTTGAGCTTGATTAAATTAAATAAGATTAAACATGCGTAAACTCAAATGATCCAAACCTAACTTGAATAAGTATTGCCCGATAATAACCTAATTTAACCTAAATTTACAAGATTGATTCTCACTTAAATGTTATAATAATACACATCACATATAGTTTCATAAGAACTGAATAGAATATGTAATAATCTAGCTATATGTGGACAGTGGCGTCACCAGGATTTTCGAAGTGTGGGTTCGAAACTTCCGAAATTTGAAATCATAATTAACAAAGGAATAAAACCATGTTAAGAGTGCAAGAAAATTACCCGGGGCATTACCTAGAACAACCTTTGCTACCTCACTATTATTTTCTGAAAACCATGTTAAGAGTGCAAGAAAATTACCCCTATTCCAAGATTCTTCACTTTCATTATGCCCACGACAAGCTAAACCTTGATTTAAAAGAAATCTAATACATTTCAATGAATAAGTCAAGCGAGATTTGTATTGTAGTTTAGCTTCCTTAGAATAAGTGCAAAGAGATTCAGCAACTGATGTCTTTGGGTTGATAAACATACTATATTTCTCATTAGCCTGACTATGGAAACTACCAATACCACCCACATGAACATCAAATCTACCAGTCTTATTCCATCCTCTAAATCCCCCTTTAATAAAGGAATCATTAACAGCCAAAGAATAATCAACTTTATCAGTGAACAAATAGCACACAAAACAAAAATCCGTATCTTTCTCAACACTATATTCAAGCCACTCATATTTATCAAACCAAGTAACATTAAAACGGCGCATACCTCCAACTTTTCTTTGAGGAAAATTATGTGTGCGTGGATCACAACGTTTCTTTGTAATATAGCCTCTCCTTACGGCATCTCGATCATTAGGAGGATACTCCATAATTGGAATTCTTTTTCCAGGGTCATGTGGAAGAAGATCAACATCATAAATGCGAGTATCATCGGAGTCAACAGTAGTATTTGGAACACTTGGACCTGTGTTCTCAGGTGGTGGAATTGTTGCAGCAATAGGAACCTCATCATCATTAGGAGACACATGTTCTTCTATTGGAGGATCCCTTGAACTAGGTGAAGAACAAGTTGAAGACTTTTGTGACTTCCCGGCACGTTTCCAAAATGACTCTAAACTCATGGTATAATAGGTATATACTGCTAGTCTGCTACACACACATGATAAATGCAGAATGAAATCAATGAATGAATGATAAATCTAGAAAGCTAATTAAAACTATCGTAATTAAAGATTACAGTCAATTACTCAATTAGTAAACGAAATCTAGACGGCAGAAAATGAAATAGCATATGAAATTATGAAAACTAGAAGGCTGAAAACGAAATACAGAAAATAGCATATGAAATTCAACAATGTAACAAAAAAAAATCCCCAAATTGAGAACTTGAGAAGTAAATTAGATAATTATAACCAAACTTCAGCAATTTACAAAAAATTGGCAATTCGTAATGTATATTAGCAATTTAGCATATGAATTTCAAGTATTCAATGATTTAGCAAAAAAAAATCCCCAAATTGAGAAGTAAATTACATTTGCAAAAAAAAAAAATCCCCAAATTCACTTACCTACATACACCGATACACGGCTGTGAGGCTGTCAGTGCTGTGACGGACGACGGTGGGTCTGCTGGCCTGCTGGGTGAGTGGCTGGTGCGCTGCCGCTGCCACCGTGTTCTGGCGTTCTGCTGACTGCTGCCGTGTTGCGCCGAGAAGAGAAGGAGGAAGAACGGGAAGAGAAGGACTGAAGGAGGAAGAACGGGAAGAGATTAAGAGAAGGAGGAAGAAATTAGGGTTTTGCAATTTGGGGGAATGAGGAAGAGGAAAGCTGGAAGCAGGGAAAGCTCAGGAAACAAAATTAAAAAAAAAAAAGTGTGAGTTATGGGTTTTGAACCCACAAACTCTTGTGTGATGGGAGGTAAAAATAACCACTGGGCTACAACTTTACTTGTTGTCATATAATACACATATATTCTATTTAAACCTATTTTGATTTTTTTGTTTTTAAAAAAAAAAAAGTTTTTAATTTTTTTCAAAAAATCAGTGGGTTCAATGAACCCACTTGAACCCATCCTAGCTCCGCCACTGTATGTGGATGAATCTTACGACTTTTGCCTTATTATTTATTTATTATCAATTTTATTTCCCATCCAATAATTGTCAAAGCTATAAAACTGTATACTATTCTACATGAACTTTAATTGTTTTTGAAAGTCCAATAACATAAAAGATTTGTGGATCAGTTCAGGTCACATTTTATGTCAAACACAAGCATCATATTATTTGATTTGACTTGGATAAATGTATGAATTTATTCAATGGTATAAATCATGAGAATATAATAAGTGAATTTTTCAACATTATATTATATTGTTGGTTCTAAATTCTTATAACATGCATAAAAGGGCAGCTAGTTTGTACAGCTGCCAAATTAGTGGTGGGCATAATTCGTTAATGATGCCATTGTTAGTGGTTTTCATGTCTAATTGTGCACCACTTTGTTAGTTTATGATTAGGAAAAGAATTGAACCTAGTATTTTTCAAACACTTGCTCCTCCACTCTCTCATTTTTTTGATACGAAAACAGTTGGCAAACTTAATTAATATTGAGTTGGTCAATATCACACTAATTTGATTAATGGTTCTAACTATAAACTATGCTTTGTTGATCAAACTTTCTCTCTTATATTCTTTGTAGAGATGTAAAGGAGTCGCAATCCTTGCTGAATAAAATATACTTTGAGGAATTGAATTATTTGGGTTTTGCAACCCACAACTACTGCCACGGTGACCCACACCCAAATCCACAATTCATGGGAGTCGGATAATCCGTCAGAGTCGGACATTTCTCGAAGTTGGGTTTTTTTTTTTCTCGGATTTTTTAGGATCCGACTTCGACCCTCCTCTGACTCGAAGACGGATTATTTTAATGGAGTCGGACTTGGATTACTTTTCTCGGACTCATAGTGGATTTTTTTCATCGGATCGGGGCAGAGTAGGGTATACTCATGTATCGAACAAAATTCAAGAATGTAAATTTTAATTATTTGGTTATATATTCCATAACACAAACTTTCATATGTGGCTAGTATTATAGGGGATACTCAATTACTATTGTAGGGATTACTCAGTCAATGTTATTAGGGTTACTTTACTTTTTTTTTACAGGCGGCTACATGGAGTGGCGATCCGCATACAAAACAATTGATTTCATTTTAATTAATGTATTTATTTATTTTTTGACATTGAATTTTGTTTTAATTATTGTGCATTCTTCAGCCAGATTTAATATTTACTATTGTTTTGAATATTCTTAATTCAATAATCCGTACTTTGTATAATGTCGAAAAAAAACTTTCTTAAATAACTTAACTAATACATATTTTTTTTATATAAATCCGATTAGATTAATATATAAATGCGACAAGTATGAGCAAACTCAAACATAAACTCTTGAACAAATTGTGCTTTAAGCAAATATGAGCTTGTCTCGACATTCAAGCACTTCAATTCGATCAAGATAACTGACCTTGAACATGAATATAATATGACGAGTAATTGATACACTTGCATCGGTAATCCTTGTTTTGAGCAAAATTTCGTAAAACTTTGTCATAAAAGTTAAGGCTCGTATTAGTTTTATGTTAACCAATGAGATAACTTATCATAAAATTGATTTTTATTTTTTACAAGGAATTTTACTTTAAATATGGACCTTATATAAAATTAAATAAATAACAATTAATTAATTAAATTGGACCACCCACATTGGAGACCAGGAAATCTGTTTATGGGGCCAGGTGAAATGTTCAATGCTTTAGAAAAAAGTAACACTATAGGGGAACAATTTTAGTAAGCATCTTTTCCTAAAAAAAAAATAAAATAGTAAGCATCTTGGGTTAATATCCATTATCTTTGATTTTTATTTTCCTCCTTTTATATGCTCATGTCAAGATCTTAAAGATATGATTATGTTAATCACCTTTTGTCATTAATAAACTACCAACCGCACCTTAATTATGGGTGATAAGACAAAATGATTACTATCAAGATGCTAGATTAGTGCAAACCTAATTTTTATGCTTTAAATTATTTTTCTAATCTTTAAGGAAATGAAAAAGAGAACCTTAGCCACATTGTAGTTGGAGTCTTGAATAATCTTCCACTCCTTTTTTGTGTTGCTATTAGTTAGTGACAAATTATAGAAAGCATGCAATCACCCACAACATATTTTGTACAATAATTGTACTATGTGATATTCTCAACTTTTCTTTATTTGGTTAATGATTAGTAATGGAATATAATAGACTTCCTCCATTTCAAATTAATTAGTGGATACGTTTTGACTTTTAACACTATTTAATTATGAATTTTACTTTCACTAATATGTGTGAATTATAAATATGAGAAAATACGGTCATTAATACGTGAGATATTGTTAGAATCATTTTAATTCATAATTAATTTATTAAAATTCAATCTTTTGTATTTTTACATTAGTATAATTAAAGATAATTTTGATTGAATTTATGTATTGACAAACGTGATAAAAGAAGCGTGTCATCTAATTCGAAATGGAGAAGAAAGATATAAGGACATATATATGATCATATACTTGTATAGTTGTATGTGGTTGTGCTCTTGAGAGGGGGTGTGGAGCCGTGGAGGGGTGAAGAACTCTAGGCTGCCCTGGCAATCTAGTAGTAGGGCATTTTAATACGATATAATATTACATATTTTGATATTTGCATTACTAAACTTTGGGGGCCTATTGATCATCAAATGTTAAATGAAAAAATAAAAATAAAAATAAAAGATATACATGACCACCGACTCTCAGAATATATAGGTAAATTAGTTTTACTCTAATTATTTCTCAATGAAAAACGCTCAATTATTAATAATGTATAATCTTTTAAGCTAGAGGCCCGAAAGTAGCATGACATCCTTAACAATAAAGATACACTAGATGAAGCCCGTGTGATACACGGTTTGTTAGTATTTTTTATCAAAAAATATTTTTTATATTTATGTGATTAAAATTGTTATTATATTAGTTTTAAAATATTTGATAAAAATTCCTAATCTTAAAAGATAATATTTTGTATTAATTAATTTAAATTTTAAAATCTCATTCGCCAATTTTGCTTACGTAGCATTTGAATTCTTTAATTGTAAAAGAAATTAATAATCTCTTATTTAATTGGCTACCACTTACATTTATAATCCTACATGGCGCGCTAAGAAAATTAAATCCTACGTGGCTCTCTAAAAACTCGGGAAAAAACTCCCCTTTATATATATATATATATATATTAGATTTTTTTAGTTTAATTTTGTTCATCTAATTTCGCGTAGATTTTAGAGAAATTTTGATATTTTGTAAACATATTTGATGGTTTAATATGCTTTCAATGGGTTATTTTGTTACGTTATTTAATTCTTAGGTGAATATATAGGGTTCTTTTGGAGTAAAGTGGTTTGTGAGTTCTTTGAATTGCCAAAAATAAACTAGGTCAAGAATTCGAGTTTTAAAACCTTCATGTTGATATAATTAAGATGGAATACGAAGAAATAATGGATTATTGTTTACTCAAGTGTATTCTTCAATTATCTAAATAAGTTTACTATGAAGAATGCAAAGAAAATAATATATATGCCTCGCTTCTTCACTTGCTCAAGCGGTTCATTGAATAGCTTACCCTAGTTAGAGGTGTCAAAACCGAACCGACCCGAAAAAAATTATCCGTTTTGAACTGTAATCGATCCGATTTGATCCAACCCGAATCCGAACTTGACCCGATCTGAACTTAACCCGGCACCGATTTGATCCGACCTGAACTCAACCCGAATCCGATTTGACCCGACCTGAACTCAAACTGAACCGATTTGACCCGACCCGAGCTCAACCCGATCCGAAATTGACCCGGAAAATAACCGATCTAATCCGATCTGTTTTGACCCGAATTGATATTAACCCGATCCGATTTTAACTCGATTTTATTTTTACCCGATCCGAATTTAACCCGATCATAAATTAATTATTTACTTTTTTATTCAAGTTCTTATACTTTATATTTACTAATCATTCATAAGTTAAATTTTTTACTACAAAGAAATATCCGGAATCTTAAGTTTACTTCATGTACATATCAATTATATTAATTTACTTTCTAAGCTTTAATAAATGCCACAAGATCTAATAAACCTAAACATTTAGCGGGAGTTAATTGATTTGCTTGTAAAGCTCTAATTAAATGCTGCCTAAAGCCTATTGTCATTTTTAATGAATTTCCTCCTATTCTGTTATATTTTATGAACTAATAATTCTTTTCTCTAACACCTACAACCAATTATATCAATATAAATCACATTACTATTAGTCTGATGCAACCTATAAGAAACAATTATGAAAGCAAAATAAATAAAGTTTTAAAGGATATATTGTTCGTCAATATATCACTAGCTCGGTCTCACTTCTCACTTATATAGGTATGATAAGTCATCGATAATTATTCAATCTCAATTTTCCTCAAAGATAAAAATTACACATAACTTGATCAAATGAGAAAACTAAAACTTCGTGCTTCGTAATTAATAATCATATTGACCCAGTAATAAGGTAAAAACTAAACAATATCTCTAGTTTAAAAATAACCTTATTTGGATATGAAATTGGTCAACTCGACCAAAATCCATCTAAACACAAAAAGGAATTGAACCGAAATTGACCGAACCGAAATCAACCCGACCCAAATTCATCCGACCCGAAGTTACCCAGCTAAACCTGTTTTAAACCCGATCCAAATATATCTATACCGAAAGTGAATCGATCTGAAGTTGACCCGACCCGTATCCGACCCGGACTCGATAGACCATGACCCAAATTTGACCCAACCCGAATTTGACCCGATCCGAGTTAAAAGGATAATTTTGATCCGAACATATCCGACCCGAACAGACCCGACCCAAACTCCATCCGATTATCCGAATTGACACCTCTAACCCTAGTGAAGTATCCCCTTAAACATGAAAGAAAGTCACTCGCCTTAATATGCTGAAATTTTGTCCAATCTTCATCCACTACTTAAATAAATTAATTATGTTATAGCTTCATTAGCTTGCGTATAAATAGACAGTTAAACAATTTTTCATGCTGAACTTTTGAACGA